CTCTTCCTCAACGGCCTCAACACTAATTATCTTTTTTCCAACGGTTTGAACTTTGACTTTGAATGGCACTTTGCACAATTTCTTCCCTACTGGGTGCCAAACAGCCAGCTCAGTTTCAAACACAGTATCATTCTCCTGCACCAGAAGCTGCAACATTCCCGGCTTGTCATCGCACTCCAGCACTCCCATCACACCCAGAATGCAAGTTTTGACTGGGACGTCCTGCAGGGAGAAAATTAATAGTTAAAACAGAGAGGTTACATCTTCTGGTAAAGAGTGGTGGAGCCATTTTAATTAGCTGAAACTAAAAAGTAAAGTAATTCATTGCATTTAGGCCTACTTGCTTACTTTGTTGAACCAGTTTCTATTTAAATCTGTTACATATTCATATATTGTCTTTATATTTTAATTTGGATACATTTTAATTTGTACACCTTGCTGCATATTATTCTTAGAGGATTTGTTTTTTAAGATGTAAAATCTATGTTTAAAAAAAGCCCAATAAAGAAGAACCTACCTCAAATGCTGTAAAGGTTGTGGACTGCAGGTGGTGTCCATATTTTGATGTGACTGATCTCAAATGTGTAAGCCTTATTTGGGCTCCCTTCTGGAGTGGCAACACAGCTGCCTCCCTCCACAGGTTTACTGCAACCTGTGTGCTGTCCTTCAACAACAACAACAAAAAAAGACTATTATTTTTATGCTCCCACACCCAAAAAACTTTAAAATAAAAATCTCCTGAAAATCAGCTATCAACAGACTGTACCCAGTAGTGTATAAAATGCCTAAAATTGAACTTTAACACTAAGTAATAATATAGAACAAATATATTCTTAATAATACAAACATTTACTTTTAATACTTTATAACACTAACTGACTTGAATCTTATCAACAAAATGTACAGCCTACTTCCTGTAAAGTCAGCATCTTCAGGGGCACCGCATTGTTCTTCACCTGCATCCGTTTGATGGCGGAGATCTGAAATGATGTATAGGTATAAATTGTATGCTCCAAGATCCCAATATGAAAATATAACTGAATCTTTTTGAATGAATTAACTGACCTTCACCACCTCTCCCTCCACCGTCACCAATCCCTGTGTCTTCTTGATGCCTTTCAAAGGGCTCATTTTGGAGACGGGATTGAGGAGCCTCTCCGCCTCCATCTGCAGCTTCTGTGACACAGGCACTGGTGTCGAACTGAAAAACTGTGTGTCCCTGGAAACACTGATCTGGTAAGGTGGGGACTGTCCTCTAAGGGAGTAACGTCTCATCACATACCCTTGACCAAGAGTTACCTTAGCCGAGTACTCCTCAAAAAGTAGGAGTGTAGCTACAGAACATCCATCACTAACTACAACCATTTTATTTTCTTTTGTTACTGATGGTTTGGCCTCACCGCTGTCGGTGAAATTCCATGAGATAACCCTTGGTTGGTCTTTAATGCAGACCACACCAATGTGTAGAGGTTGGAGCCGAGAGAGCAGCGTCCCTTTCTCCTCCATCAGAATTCTTTGTAGCGCCATTCTAAAACAAATAAGCAGAAAGTTATGTTAATACAGAGTCAGCTATGTCACAGATGTTACAAATGAAACTTAAAAAGAACTAGACTTTTCTCAAGCCATACACAGAAAAGTTGGGGGTGAAGGAAAAACATTAGTCTGTACACTGAAAAAAATGTTTTGTTGAACGAACGTAATTTTATTTCGTCTGAAGCTAGATATAGTATTTATGTTGACTCAACTAATCATTTTAAAGTAAATGCAAATAAATTATATTAGTAATTTTACCTCAATTACTTTGAGCACATTTCACCTAAATTTCCTTAGTAAGTCCAATTAAACCCATTTTGAATGTACTTAAATAAATTATGTATGCTTTTTCAATTTTTTGT